GAAAGCTGCAAAGGACTAGCTTCTGTTGGTCCTTCATGACTCCCTGGTTGGGGTCCGAGAGACGGTGTAACGCAGTGGCTAGAGACGTTATCAGATATGGCTCAGAATAGAAGCCAGTGGCGATCGTGCTGTAACCTCTTACTTTCTTCATAAAAAGTGGTTGTATCTTCCTTAATTGAAAGATCTCTTCTGATTGTACCTTTCCGTTTCCCCCACCATTGTTCTCTCTCTCTCTCCCTTTTTTTTATAATTCCCCACGTTCATTCCTTTTTTTTCTCTCCTCTTCAAATTATCATTGTTTTGTGTGGCGCATATATATTTGGTGCCCCCCTGTACCAATATTTATGTGTTCAAATAAATAATAAATAATAAATACTGCATATCAAAGGTGAAAGCGAAATGGCATCCGGGTGGCTTGCATAAATTTTTCATGACTATAGTGAATTGATTAATAGATTATAGCTAACGTTTACTACTGTAAAACAAAAAAATAATACACTCAGAACGGATAAAATGGGCAAAATTGGGTTGTGTAAAAGATTACGATGCACTAAAACTAGTCTTGACGTGAAAAACAATAGTAAGCTGAGGCGAAAACACAGTCAACTATTAGATTAGATAAAACTCAAAAATAACGTTACCATCAGAACAGATTCTTTGGATCGAAAATGGTACTTTTGTTGCGTAACGACACAGCAAATGTTTGAGAAATGCAAATTGCGTTAGGTCTGGACCTCTCGTTCGTAAAACGCTCTCTTTTTTATGGAATTGGATAATCATTAAGCTGTATGAAAATTAGTCATTGTTGACCGATTAGTGTGTTTGATACTCGCCGTGAGACCTAATGGTTTTAGTCTAATTTCAGGGTTCATGAATGTGCGGTGCCGAAGAGACCCACACTAGGATGAAATATGCGCCTCGAGTTTTCAACAGTACTTCAACAAATGTCGATCCTATTACAGCGATCTCAGGAATCGTCAAATTGTATGAGAAAGGCTAAAAGCTCTTCAGGAACGACAGCCACCTTCACACTTTCCACCGAGTTGGCTTTCCACATGACCTTTGCCCTCTGATCGTCATATTTCTTAGTTCGCTAAATTGCTACATGCTTGAAGGTTATATTTTGCTATTATAGTAACAACTTTTGTACCAGTTTCGTTTGTGGCTTGTCCTATCACAAATATCAAGTTACCTGCAATTCTGTGATCATTTTTTGGCTTCGGGGTTTGATGTGTTGTGTATATTAAACTGTTGTCAGTTCTGGCGAGAACTGACAGTATTAGAGTAGCTCAACCGTTTTCGTTTCTAGATTTGTAATATCGTAGGCCGTACTGAACCTCAATAACAAGACAACAATTTACGACGGGGATGGCTGTTAAAGGTATTGCTCATAAGCTTGGACGCATGCTAAATAAATGGTTCAAATTGATTGAGATATCTGATACTTAAATCTCTAAAAACTCAACACCATCAACCTCCGTATTTGTATTTAAGCTCGATAATGTTGCTGAATTTAATTATGACCGATCCTCAAATGTAATATTTGACACCTGGTTACGACGTTACGAAGATATATTTGATGTTGATTTCGACCACGAAGACTCTTGGAAAGTACGTATTCTTTAACGGTAGCTCGGTTCAGAAGAACTTGACAAATGTTGCAACATTATATTGTCTCAAAATCTACGTGAAAGAACTTCTGCAGATACTATTACTTCACTTAGTCAGTTGTTTGGTGATCGGTCGTCGATTATTAATTCTCGTTATCGATACATGAAATTAGTAATGAACAAAGAGGATGGTTTTCTCACACATGTTGGAATAGTTAATCAAGAGTGAGAGCAGTTCAAATTGAAAACTTCCTGAAGACCAATTCAAATCATTAGTACTTACCTGTAGTTTACAACCCGAAATATTTGCGGATATTCGTACATGACTGTAACATCGTTTTCATCAGGACCTAACGTTAACATTTAATGAAGTTGCTGAAGAATATCAACGATCAACGAATCTCAAAAACGACACCAACTTATTCTATTCCGGTGGTCGGAATAGATTTGACGTTCAAGCGGTACAAAGTAAATAACGTCCTAATTCCATGACCCCAGCATCCACATCATTAGACGAAAAACCATCAAAAGAGAAGCCTAAAGTTTCCCCGTCAGGTGCTTGGCATTTCGCAAGGTTTTGTCCGTTTAAAAACGATTATTGTGAGAAATGTTACACTGTTGGACATCGAGACTTGTTATAAGTAGCAAAATAGTAACCGGAAATCGAATTTCCGAAGAAGATACATATCAAATATAAGACCATTTGAATTTTTTCCTGTATTTACGGTAAATCAAGTGCACAAAAGGCCAGTCAGGAGGCTTATTGAAGTTCTGATAAATGGCTATTCGATAAGATTACAATTAAATACCGCTTCAGATATAAACATCCTTTCCAGAAAAACGTGGACTTAAAAGGGAAAATACAGTCTGCACCCTACAAGTCAGTTTGCCGTGAGCGCGGCAGGTGATAAACTGAAACTTATCGGGGTTCCATCGTGCTCAGTAACACTCAAAGATTAGACTATAAGTGGAATATATTACATATCAGTTAATAACTTAAATTTATTAGTAATAAATATATTTTTTTATCATATCCCCATGAGTACAAAAATTGTATTCCTAACGTTTCATGACTTAATGTAAACCACTTGTTCAGAGTAAATAAATAACCGAATTAACACAAGTTTAAATAGTACCAAATTTATTAGGTTAAAACTGGTGCGATAGTTTTGGACTTCAAGATACTCCATTATGAAACGTATGCCACAGAATTTTAAATAAAGAAAAGCAGTGGTTTATCACAAAAATCATGAATAAATTTATAGACGATTTTGCAGAAGGTTTGAGGAATCGCACTACAATGAAAGTAAATCTTCACTTGGAAAAATGTGCGAATCCAGCATCCCGACAAAAAAGATCATTACCTTATGCATCATTACCATATGTGAACGCGGAACTCCAACGTCTAGAAAAACAAGGTATCCTATCACCAGTTTCATTCTCAGCTTGGGCAGCCCTTATAATAGTCATCAAGAAACAAAATTGTGCATTGTGGGTCTGCGCAGACTTTTCGACGGAATTAAATGCTGCTCTAGAACAACATCATAACCTTTTACCAATTTCGGATGGTCTTTTTACTATATTAAACGGTTGAAGCTACTTTGCGAAACTAGATCTAGTTGAAGCCTATCTCTATGTAGAGGTCGACTATTGATGCCGTGAATTACTGACAATGATCGAAGTTTAGTTCAGTATAATCAACTGTTTTTTGGAGTGAAGATGGTATTAACGATGTTCCAGCAACTAACTGGCACTACAAGTGTAGTCGTTTATTTAGACGATATACTCATACTTACAGCATCCTATGAAGAGTTATATGACCGAATCAATCCGATTAAAAATGTGTGAAGTACCTTGAGCTTATATTTGTTAGCTTTGGACAACGCTCTGACCCTGAAAATATTCAGACTACCAAGAAGATGTCTGCTCCATACGATCCGCCGACTCTACGTTCATTACTACTCCGCATTTTCTCCTTCCATACATGAAAAGCGAACACTACCTAATCATATAGTTGAAAAGAATACCAATTGGGAACGGACAGAACAGTGTCAAGCAGCTTTCGGAGAATTAAAGCACTACTTGGATCTCTTCTTTTACTAACTCATCACGATGCCATTAATAGTTGCAGCAGATTCATCTGTATATGATGTGGGAGCAGTAGTTTCACACAAATTTCCAATGGAAAAACAGTAATGCACGGATCCAGATCACTAACAACAGCGGAAAAACGCTATTGTTAGATCAAAAGAAAGCATTGACAAATGTTTCTGTTGTACGGCGCATTCCGCAAACCGACTTCACACTGCTAGATGGTTTCGACACTCAGTATCGTCGGACAGATTTCGGTCACGCGGACACCCCATCTTGTTCAATAAGTAATAATCTAATACTAATGAAGGTTCTGTTGTTGCTGTGATTTCTACTACAGATTACGCAGACGAGTCTCATGGATGCAATGAGAGCTCTTCCCGAAACGGCCAGGTAGCAGATACTACAAAGAGGAACACAATGCTTCAACGGAGGATTGATTACCTTTAAAATAAATGTCCATCGTCTGTAGGAGAATTAAAACACCTATTCCAGCAACGGTAATCTCTGCGCTCAGTTGGAGAATCCCTTATGTATAGAGAACGTGTAGTGATATCACCAGAATTACAGGAGAGGACAGTATAGGAACAGGCTTCAAGAAACTAATTTTCTTCATCTTGCTCAACATTCTGAGCAGTCGTATGTACATGATATCTGAATTTTCGCGCCTTTTCCGTTCTGATTGACTTGCCCCTAATGTATACTTCTACCACATCCTCTCCCACCCATTAATTTTAATACTTGCACCAACTAGTTATAACCCGCCTTCCACTGAGTTTCCCCTACTATCCTTGGTAATGTCTTCTTTTCACAAATAGTACCAGTTAATTTTAGCCACCACGACTACAGTTTCTGATATGCTGACTTGAAGTGGATACGTTTTGTATTTGTGATACGTATATTCAAAGATTTTGCTGTTGAGCTACACTCAACATCCATAGCCGTACACTGAATCATACAATCTGCACTAAGAGCGGGTTTTCTTGTAATTTAGCTTGAGCAGCATCTTATATTCACTGTTTGGTTGCGCAACAGGTGTTTTTGTCGATTTCGCGGATTATAAAAACCAAACATTGCTATATTTCACTTAGTTCATAATTGCGAGTTATCCTCTACAGTGAAAAACTCATGAGGCCTATCTCGAGGCAATCAGTAGTGTGTTTCAGTTCATTATATATAAATATATAAATATATAAATATATAAATATATATATATATATATATATATATATATATATATATATATATATATATTTGAAAACCCCTAAAGAATTGTTCTAAATCATTTACTTATTTCAGGTGTTATGGTCGGTAGAGCCTTGTTAAAATTCCCACATCTTTTTAGTCCAAATTATATCGAGGATGAAAACTCACTTCGCTATTTATTTGAAGATTGGTTACTTTTGTCTACACAATATACAGGAGGGACAAGTTTTGTAACTGTTCATCAACAAGCATATTGGATGATGGAACCATTTCTGGACAAAACAAATAGATTAATTTTGCATAGTATTGGCAGTTTCCAAGGTTTAGTCGACTGGCTTTTTAAATATTTGAAGACAAAAAACAGCTGATTCGTATATTTTCCTTGTACAGCAAAGCATTTCCTACTTTAATTGACATACCTATTTTCTTACAATTATTCTCAGAATAAATACAGCTGTTTCTAGCTGACAAGTGATTTTAGGTGAATGATAGTCGATCTTACTAAGTGATTAAACTTATTGTGGGAATTTAATCCAATGACCATAGTGGCATACTTTCTTCTCATATAGTTAGTGGATGATCATACGCAACAAAAATCGTATGAATGAGCTCATTTGAATTACTAAACTATTTATATGCCATTTGTTACTTATACCTAATCATTGCATTCCTAACTTCATATTATCAATTATTTTATACATAAATCAAACAAATGGCAACTGAGAAATCCTCTCAACAACACAGTCGGTATAGAGAAATATAAAATCGGTTAACCCACTATCTCATCTCGACCGTTGTTGCTACCTTGATGTAGTGGTCGAACGTGCCTATCGTGATGAAGCAACCGAACTATACTGGCTGGAACAACCGTTCCTCAAGGTCCTACCATGTCAGGCAGGTCGGTTGAAGAGCGGTAAGACTAAAAGCAACAAATCCAAGGTCCGAAGTCGTACTGCTGACAGCAGTTAGGTATTTCTTTCAGACAACCAGCATGACAGCGATGCTGCCTTCCCACAAGCAGGGTTGGGGTTAGAAACGCTCGACCCAAAAAATGCACACCTCGCCTTATCACACGGATATCCGTCATTGGCGGTAAGGTCTTAACAAGTACGGAGCTAACACAAAAATTAATCACGTGAAGGTCGTGTGTGACCGACCTCAAGCAGTTGTCCCTTGGGTACTGAGGTCACGCTCTCAAGTCACTAAGACCGACTCTAAACCAAGTTCCTTTTCAGGTATCTCCGGAAAAACCCTTTCACGGTGTGGGCAACAGGAGGTGATAACCGCCCTCATACCTCTAACAGCGCTCAAGACCACTGTATTCATAATCGACCTCCCTCTTCAATGCCTATTATTCCTCCTACATTGACTTTCAACGCTAAACTTCATCTTTCGGCTTTCTCCTCAAGTGTCACCAGTCTACTGAAACCTCGCTCCAAACTACACTTTGGAGCCTTCAAAGTACCCACACTATGTCAAATCGGTCAGCAGGCCTCCTTGGCTAAAACCCTAGAATCTCATACCATTGGTGTATGTTGTGTCTCTGAAGCACGCATACAGGATCCAAGTATGGTCATTCACTTGACCTCACCTCGGCGAAACGAAGAGCCGACGAGACACACCCTCAGTGTATCTGGTGACCCGATGGCCAGTTCTCGTGGACTGGCAGGTGTAGGCATAGCCCTCAAATGCCCTGGTATGGCCGAAATACTCTCACACGGCCACGCGTATACAGCCTCTGCCAGGGAAGTCCTACTCACTGCCTTCTCGTGGCGGGGGTGTTGTTTACGAAAATGAGAGGACGAAAAGCGAACGTCCGGCGTTATAACCGGATCCCAATTCTATGGTGCACATGTGCTCCAGTATCCTGAAGGGACAAATGGCGTATGAACCAACTTTTGGTCACCGGCTTCCATGGGACTGCATCTCCTCACGATGCTCCACTGCCTTGTGGACTAGACCCTTATGTCAGGGGCTCGGGGTGTGGCCCCCTAAAAAAACCACCTGCTTCGGTTTGGGCACCCGGGCAGTATCTCAGCTCACGCACTAAAATCATGATGAACTATTTGCTTATGGAAAATATTCCTTTCTCTCTGATTAACATTGAAATGACTCGTACTATTATTATTATTTTACCACGTCATTTATTCACCCTCTCTTATTCCTACTTTATGTATCCGTTTCGACCTAGACAGCAGCTCACCTATGGTGAAAATTCAGCTTTATCTAAACGTTCTCGAGTCACTGCCTGGTTGAAAATTGTATGTTACCACCGAATACGAGTACTGAAGCAGTTTTTCTGAAACCACGTACACCATTCAAACTGGCTGCCTTCAACGTTCGCACACTTATGCAAGTCGGACAACAGATAGGGCTGGCTATGTCTTTGGAAAGTCTTAATATTGATGTGTGTTGTCTATCCGAGACCCGTATTCAAGACTCTGGTGAAGTACTACAAGTTCGCTCTCCATCTGTCACTTCAAAAAGCTTGTTTTATGTGCGTTTATCCGGGGACCCTGTGGCATCTTCGTCTGGTCTTGCTGGCGTTGGTGTAGCACTAAGCGCTAGAGCTGAGGCAGCACTAATCGACTGGATCCCCATTAACAGTCGGTTATGTGCTGTTAGATTAGAAAGTTCCATCAAAGTGAGAAGAAATCGGCATGAGAAACGATGTCTTTTCGTCATCTCCGCCTATGCCCCGACAGATTGCAACCCGGATGCAATCAAGGATGAGTTCTACCACCAGTTATCTGTTCTTCTCCAGAAAGTGCGCTCGACAGATATTGTAGTACTAGCTGGAGACTTGAATGCTCAGGTCGGGCGTCTAGGCACAGAAGAGAGTCGTTTAGGTGGCCGATGGGTACTCGTTGGTCGAAGAACAGATAACGGGGAACGTCTACTGCAACTATGCACAGACCACAACCTGTTTCTGGCTAGCACTAACTTTCGGCACAGTCATCGCCGATGTGCCACCTGGCGTCCCCATTCTGCATCTCAAGCCTGGATACAGATTGATCACATCGCGATCAGCTACCGCTGGCGTGGTTGTGTACAAGACTGCCGCTCCTTTTGGAGTACCTATCTGGAATCTGATCATGCTCTGGTCTGCGCCAATCTTACCTTACTTTTCAGTGGACAACGAAGTGACCGCCACCAAAGGATTGATGTTAGCAATCTGGCTGCAACTTCTGTTGCTAGTAAGTACCGAACCGAGCTAGCTACCATTCCACCGAAAAGTATAGATGAGCATTGGTTGCAATTGCATGACGCCATGAAAATGGCGGGTCAAGTCTGTTGTGGGTTCGCTAAACGTCCCGCTTACAAGCACTGGGTTAGAACACCGCCATACTTATCAAAGGCCAACAATCGTAGTGTTTCTTGATATCAGGGCTGCCTTCGATTCGTTGGACAGAACTGTTCTCTGGGATTGTCTATTGAAGAAGGGTGTGCCTGAGAAGTTTATTAACATCCTAAAAGCCCTATACACAAACACCTCAGGCAGAGTGAGGGCATACAACCACCTTTCTCCGTTATTCCATTCGAGCAGTGGGGTTAGGCAGGGTTGCCCAATCTCACCATTCCTCTTCAACTTTGCCATCGATGACATTCTGGAAACAGCTCTGATGGATGTAAGTAATGGTGATGTGGATCTGTTGCCTGGAGAAAGACTTCTCGACCTTGAGTATGCCGATGATATTGTCTTACTGTGCGAGAATGCCCAAGCTATGCAATCCGCACTTAATCAGTTGGCAATCAATGTCCGTAGGTATGGTATGTGCTTCGCACCTTCGAAGTGCAAAGTACTTCTACAAGACTGGCAGGATTCTAATCCTGTACTCACTCTGGACGGTGAGCAGATAGAAGTAGTCGAGAAGTTCGTGTATCTGGGTAGCTGCATAAGTGCTGGTGGTGGCGTGAGTGATGAGATCAATGCACGTATAGTGAAAGCCAGAGCGGCTTATGCCAATCTGGGCCATCTTTGGCGCCTTCGTGATGTTAGTCTGGCTGTAAAAGGTCGGATCTACAACGCGACGGTGAGAGCAGTTTTGCTCTATGCTTGTGAAACCTGGCCTCTCCGAGTTGAGGATGTTAGACTTCTCTCTGTGTGTGATCATCGTTGTCTCCGAAGGATTGCTGGTATCCAGTGGCAACACCATGTCAGTAATGCAGAGGTTCGGCATCGAGTGTTCGGTCACAGAGACGATAATGAAATTGGTGTCACCATCTTGAAACACCGACTTCGGTGGCTTGGACATGTTCTACGAATGTCGTCCCAGAGAATTCCACGTCGTGCATTATTTGCCGACTCTGGGACTGGTTGGAAAAAGCGGAGAGGTGGTCAGTATATGACATGGTGTCGTGGTATGAAAGAAAGCTGCAAAGGACTAGCTTCTGTTGGTCCTTCATGACTCCCTGGTTGGGGTCCGAGAGACGGTGTAACGCAGTGGCTAGAGACGTTATCAGATATGGCTCAGAATAGAAGCCAGTGGCGATCGTGCTGTAACCTCTTACTTTCTTCATAAAAAGTGGTTGTATCTTCCTTAATTGAAAGATCTCTTCTGATTGTACCTTTCCGTTTCCCCCACCATTGTTCTCTCTCTCTCTCCCTTTTTTTTATAATTCCCCACGTTCATTACTTTTTTTTCTCTCCTCTTCAAATTATCATTGTTTTGTGTGGCGCATATATATTTGGTGCCCCCCTGTACCAATATTTATGTGTTCAAATAAATAATAAGGCATAGCACTAAGCATGAGGGCGGAACAAGCGCTATTAGAGTGGATTCCCGCTAACAGACATTTATGTGCTGTTCGGCTAAACAGCTCCGTAAGAACTCGGGAGGACAAGGACACACGTCGTTGCCTTTTTGTCGTTTTGCCTACGCTCCCACTGACTGCAGCTCGGATGAAGTGAAAGATGAATTTTACAGAAATCTCTCTGAACTTCTTCAGAAAGCTAAACGTTCAGACATAGTACTCATAGCAGGTGACTTTAATACCCAGGTAGGTATCTTAAACCAAACTGAAAGACATTTAGGTTTGTATTTTAGTATTCTGACACAGCGAAAAGGTAGTATTGATCCATTACCATACAGTGTGAATGGAACATTGAAGTAGGTCCCCCAACTCTAGCTGAAGTTCAAAAGGCTATAGCTAATCTGAAACGGTGAAAAGCGGCTCGTTCAGATGGATTGACTCCAGAGGTCTTTAAGAATGGTGGTCCAATTTCAGCGATTAGGTAGACTAATATTTTACCTAAAATCTGGGAGTTGGACGTTATCCCATCTGACTGGTCTCAATCACTTATCGTCCCACTATATAAGAGAGGATCATAATCATTCTGTGACAACCGTAGAGGGGTTAGTTTAACTAATATAGCATCTAAAATACTAGCATCGATAATTATCGGAAGCCTAACTAAGACTCGTGAACTGGAAACACGAGAGAATTAAGCTGGCTTCAGACCTGGT